CTGCCTGCTGAGGCGGGCTGTCTATGGAGTCCCCCGCCACCTCTCGAAGGTCTCCGCTCGACAAAGCCGAAATTACCCCACGCCCCACTTCCCCTCTCGGGCGTTGACCACTGGGGGGCAGCAAGCGGGTGGGGGAGACGCGTGCACCGTTCGTGCACCTTCGTGGCTCTAGGGGGCGCCTTTCAGGGCCTGCAGTCATCGATCGCCCCCCGCTTACCGCCTCCCATTACGAAACGCCCGACGCTCTCCCCTTTTTGTTTGGCTGTCTGGCGCATAGTTGGGAGAGGGAAAAGGAAAGGGAGAAGGGAGGGAGGGCGCAGAGAGCCGATGTTCAACGAGCAAGGTGCCTCGTCTCGTGCAGCGCAAGGGCCCAGGCGCACGCCGCCAGAAGAAAAAGTCGCCGATACCGGAGTGAACAACGCCGAGACAAAGAGGATTGGACTGAAGATTCCCACGCCCACCCACCACCCCCGTCTAACGGTACAAAAATAGTAATTGCACATCCACGTATGGGTTCTCATACATCATTTCAGGCCTCGAAGAAAAAAAACAGCAAAAAACAAAACAACGAACACGCATGACACATTCATAGGTCATCGCCTCCTCCTCCCCCCAGTGTTCAGAGTTGGCGGCGGGCCTGAGGAGTTCCGCTTCGACCGCAGTCTCCCGAGGCGCGTGCCAACTTCGAGTTCGGGGAAGCGGGGGAGGTGTCCACTAATTTAACGGGCGAAGAAAGGTATACAATAAACTTTTTCGCCGTCGGGGACACCTGCCCCAGGGCGACTGGAAAGTTTATACCCTTACGGTGGCACCGTAGGGGTATAAACTTTCCAGCCGCCCAGGGGCAGGTGTCCCCGACGGCGAAAAAGTTTATGTTATACCGTTCTTCGCCCGTTAACTACTTGTTTCCCCCTACCGCTGCAACGAAAAAAACTCCGTGCCCCCGCCCGTGGCAGCAGCCGGCGCCCTGCTGCGGGCAGCTGCACCGGGCCCCTCACCCCGTCTCCCGGCGGGTTTCCCCACAGCGGGGCGTGCCACGCATGCCCCCGAGGTCTCGCACCCCCTCGAGGTCGTCTTGAATGGGGGGAGAGGGGGGGAGAGCCTTCCTAAGAGACCCCAAGAGACATCCCTGAGTACTCGGGCCCACGTCAGCGTCGTCGTCGTCGCCGCCGCCGCCGCCGTCGTCGAGGTCCCCCTTCAGGGTCGGCGGCACCGGCCGTGAGGCCTTCGCCCTCGGGTCACCAGGGGGGGGAGGGGGGGAAGATGCCGGCTGAGAACCGAGCCTCGTCGCTTTCGGCAGCCCCACGCAGGCATGCCCCGCGCGCACCACCACCGCGCACCCCTCCTGACCTGCCCCGCACCCGGCAGGGTCGGGCTATCGGGGGGGAGGGGATGGGGGGCGGGAGGGACCGAGGGGAGGGGATGGGGGGCGGGGGGGAGGGGATGGGGGGCGGGGGTTCTCGCCAGACGCCAGACCATGAAAAAACGCCTCCGCTTTCCCAATCATGCCCCCTCCGTCCGACCCGACGCTCGGGGGCCCCGGGGCCAGGCCGAAGACGGCGTGTCTGCTCCCGCAGAACAAGCGCCTGAGCCTCCGGCGGGCCGACGGGGGGGGCCACCAAGGGCCAAAATCCAAAACGCCCCAGAGCCACGACCCTCGAGGGGGATCGGTCGAGGAGGAAGGAGGCCCGACTATCCCTGGGCCTCGACTCAGCTCTGTCCCTGGGTGGTGCTGCCTCCGGCCTATCGCGCTAGAGCCGCTGGCTCCCAGCAGTGTGCGCTGCGCGGCGACGGAGAGGGACGGGGAAGGAAGGAGGGAGAAGGAGGAGGAGCATAGGGAGAAGATGGAGGAGGACGAGACGTGACGCTGCAGCGCGCGCCGGGGCACGGCCCTATTGAGAGCGCAGCAGGGGGCTGTGGCCCATCAGATGTCGATAAACAGTACGTTCTTCCAGTGGTAAAACGCACACATTTAAATTCCTCGCAGAGTGTTGGGAACAAATCTACAACTGTATAGTAAGGCTCTCGAAACTCGAACTCCGCGGGCTCACCTCAGCTTTGCTTTGCCGACTGAGAGGAGGGATGGATGAGGAGGATGAGGAGGATGAGGAGGAGGAAGCGTCCGGGCTTTCCAGGAGGTTCCCGGGCGTGCGAGGAGGATGAGCAGGAGGAGGATGGAGGCTCCAGTGTCTCAGACACCCGACGTCGTGATTTCTTCATCACGTGGACCGGTGTCTCGTCCCGACTGGTGCTTTGACGGTCTTGGGACCCGGCGCGGGCAACCAAGAGGCCGAACACGCTCGAACACCTCCGTCACGATGCTCTGCCACGCCGCGGGCGGGGGGGTCCTGGGGTGGCGGAGCTCGGCCGATCGAAGGGCCCCAGCAGGCGTCCACCAACCGGCAGCATGTCGGGATCGGGCCTCGCGGCCCGGAGAGAGGTCCGGCTAGGGCCGCCGGAGGAGGAGGAGGGGGAGGAGGAGGAGGAGGAGGGGGAGGAGGAGGAGGATAGGGGAACGAACAATGACATACATAGAAGAACTCGGCGGTCCGCGCAGAACTCTCGGGAAGGAGCGGGGCAGAGACGAGGAACAGCGGCACCACCACCACCACCGCCAGGGACCACCAGCGGGAGGAGCCGAGGGGGGGGGCCCTGGTGGTGTCGTCGCCCCCTCTGGCCCGAGGCATCCCCTGCCCCCAGCTCGGGGAAGGCATCGTGGACCGCCTCGCGGGAGGTGGCGCCCCCTGCAGTGGAGACCCATGCCAAGAAGCACCCAGCGTGCCTTCAGGGTGCCCTGGGTTTCTTGGGTTTCGATGGCTTTGCCATGGAAAGCGTGGCGTTCCCGAACCAATAGTCAGGGGACTCAGGGCTGGATTTCTTGTGAGAGGTCTCTTGTGGTCGAGCTCCTGCTGTAGTGCTAGGTCGGGCGTGTCATCCCACAGGCGGATTGCGAAAGAGACACCAAAATGCTCGAATCACATGCAAAAACAGCTGAAACCAAAAATCGTGTCCAGACCATGCTTTGCTACCTTTGCAGACTCCTCCTGTGGAGGGACAGGCCCGACTTCACTGCAGGGGTGGTGGTGCCGCTCCCTCCCCCCCTCGAGGCGGGGCCTCGGCGGTGTCCCCAGAGGGCCCTCCGGCCTCGAGGCCCCAGCCCGCAGGGAGGACCGAGATCCCCAAGGAGGCAGCAGACAGGAGGAGCATAAGATAGCCTCAGCACAAGAATGAAGGGAAACTGGGACACACAAATAAATACACGCAAATAAAATAATCCCCCATATTTTCCCATATGTTCTGGGTTTCTGTCTTCCCCCCCACTTCCCATATTTTCCCATATTTTCTGGGGAATCGAAGATTAATTGTGTCTGTGTGTTTCTTTTCCTCTCCTGAGAGATAGCCTCAGCACAAGAAGAGAACCACTCTGCAAGCATCGCTGCCTCAGCTGGGGTTCCACAGGTCCAGGCCTGGGCAACAGTCCGGAATCTGCGGGAACCAAGCGGCTGCTCAACCGGAGAGACGGCCGAAAGTGGGCAGCGACGACACTACACAAGGGGGCCCGCAGCTGGGCCCCAGGGGGTCCATCAATAAAAACAGATCTGGGGGACCGAAAGCTGGCCTCCCTGGGAAGGGGCGGGGGCCTCTGGGGCCGCGCGCTGCAAGAAATCATGTCGTCGGGCGTCTGGGAAGGAGGGGGAAGGCCGTGGGCCCGTGTTCTCAAAGCCCGGCTCGAGAGGCCATGGGCTCGAGGGAGCGGCTCGGTCGGACAGCCTCCTTCGATCGGAAGCGAGCGCGAGGAAGATTTGTATCCCTATCAACTGCGTCTTGGACTTCCTGGGAAGGGGCGTCAGGAGGCCGAGGCGCAGTGGATATGGACAAAGATCTGGCCCCTAGGGGAAGATGTTTGTCCATGTCCACTACGCCTCTTGCTTCTGGGACAGGGAACCCGAAACTCCAAGACGCAATGCATATCACACCAAATAACAACCCTAATCAGTAGATGGCTTGAACTTAATGAATGAGATCGACTGAGTGAGATGGCTAGTGAGATCGATCATGAGATCGATCGTGGGATCCCGACCTCGGCCCAGAACCAGCGACCGGAAACCTGGGAGCCTGGAACCAGAAACCCGAGGACCCAGACGGCCACCGAACTCGGCCCGGGACCCTCGCGCCACATCTCTCAAGATCCGCTATAGGAGACCCCTTCAGTGCAGGCGCTGACTGGGGAATGAACACACGCCTTGCCCGCAGCGAGGCCGCCGGACACCGACGAGACCGAGCCGCTCGCACGGAGCCGGGGCCGCCGAGGCCAGGCGCCCACCAAAGAGGGCACCGCTCGCTCTCAGCGCTGCGGGGCCGGACCGGCGGGCCGGCTCGATCTCGAGTCTGGGGCCCCGGCCCTGCGGGGGGTCGGAGGGAGATCCGGGCCCACGGTCGCGGGCGAAAGCCATTAGGCGAGCGCGTTCCACTGCTCGCGAAATAATTGCTCGCAAATGGCCTGGATCCCCCGCGGTGCATCCGCGAGACTTTACATCGAGGAAAACACATGTTTTTCGGACGTTTGCGAGTAGGCACCCCGCGAGCAGTGGAACGCGCTCGGTGAGACATGCAGCACCCAGATCTCCCATACGAAGAGAAGCACGCCGGGATTCGAAAAACCATGCCGTCGGAGATCTGGGGGTCCCGTACCCCCGACGGTATTTTTGTTGTTCTATTGTTTCAAGCCGTCGACCCCCAGTGGTCTCGAGCCGTTCCCCGGGACTGCTTTTTTTCATTCTGGGTTGTTCTTTGACGGTCCCGGGGACCGGCAAGGGCCACCCCCAGAGGCCGAAGATGACGAAAAAACCTCCCGTCGCGATCTTTTTTTCATGACCCGAGGAGGCTTGGGACCGTCGGGGATCTGGGGTTATCGCGCTCGCGCAGGGTCCCGCCTCGTCACGCGCCAGCTGGATCCGTGCCCCAGATGTCTCGCGGATCTCCTTCAGCTGGGCCCCAGCCTCCGCCGCACAGCGGAGGGGGGGCAGCGGCTGGCAGCAAGCGAGGAGGACGAGCTGCTGCGCGTCGTCTCGGTCACGGGAGTCAGCCAAGGCAGTGCGCTCTGCTCTGTCTGGTCGCCTTCGTTTTGGAGCTTCGAAGCGACAGCCATCTCTGTTTGATCGTGGACCTCTTACCCGTCGGCATTCGGAGGTGTTCGGCAATCTCTGGCGATCTCACGAGGTCCGCAATACTTCCTGGCGGTCTTTTGCGAGCGAGCTCGGCGGCTGCGTCTTGGCCCATCACCCAGAATCAGAGAAACGGAACCGCAGAAGGGGAATGCGGAAAGCGATTGTGATCAAACGGGCGTTCGTAAAGCTGCAACTCAGTCGTAGAGACAGCAAAAGCTAATGAACACTGAAGTAAGCGCAATCACGCCTTCAGGTGCAGCCAGCACTGATGACGCTAACGCTGATGCCAAATCTGACACTCAAGCTGGCACACATGTTATTGGTGGTGCCCTTTGGCCCGGATTTTTTTTTGCAGCACGATGACAATTGCACTGGTGATGAGACAAACATCAAGGCGTTAGCTGAAATGCACTGCTGCGACGAACGCCCATCCTCCTGCTTTTCCTTTTCCTCCTCATATGCCGCCTCGTTCTCTTCATGCTTCTCACCGTCGTCCTACGTACTCATGGTCCTCCTCCACTTTTCATCATCATCATCACTACCATCATCATCATCATCATCATCATCATCATCATCATCATCATCATCATCATCATGTTGCCCCTCGTTCCGACTCATTTCTCTCCCTACCCTCTTGTACATCCTCCCACCATCCTTCGCCTACTTCTGTACCAGCCGCCCACAAACATGTGCAGACGCCTCGAGCCGCGATCCTCGATCTTCCTCGATCCATAATCCCGCCAACGCTGCCGCGGGAAGAAAGCGGGCCCTGAGGGAACTGGGCCCTGGAACCCGAAGCCCCCCCCTTCAGTTGTTTGCACGCTCTCTACACATCAGTGGATATGTGTATTTTGTCTTCGGCGAGCCAGCCAATTCTACACATCAGAGCACGTAGCTTCTACACAGCCCACACACATGTGCAGAAGCAAAACGCAAATTCCACATTGGAAGCAGACATGCGTAGAAAGGCACAACGGATTGTGCTTCTGCACGTCACACAGCAAAGTATAGAATTGGGACCAACAAGCTGTAGAGTCGCTCTGCCCCCTTGGACGGAAATGCACCCAGAGTGTCGCTCTGCGAAGACAGCCGACTCGGGAAAGAATGAGACGCCTGGGTCTCAGGGCCCAACGCCCTCTAGCAATGGTTCTTGTATGCATGGGGCATCGTGTTCCTCCCCACCCACCCAACGAGCCGGCGGCCGCGTGCCGCGATCTCCTCGAACCCTCCGCCGTCCCAGCTCGAGCCCTGATCTTCGCTCACCCCTCAAACCTTCCTCGACGATGGCGACGTCAGGGAGAAGCACGGCGAGGACAAAATGGAGAAGGAAGGGGTGGAAATGGAGGAGGAAAAGGATGATGAGGATGAGGAAGAGGATGATGAGGATGAGGACGGTGATGATGATGCTGATGATGATGCTCCCCGCGTCTAAGGGGGTCAGGAGCTCCTAGCTCGTACTGCCCTTCGGACCGAAGCGTTTCCCTGTGGCCCTGCGGTGGCAACGCACGGTCTCGTGCGCCTCGGCGCACACACGCAGATTCGCCCGAGTGCCGAGAGCAATCAACCGCTTCAGCCGAGGCAAGAGGGTGACCGACCCAAGCAGTCAAAGCGACTCGGCACGCACGGCAGCAGGCAGAGCCACGCTGCGCGGTCTAGCATGCTGGTACACAGCTGGGCTGTACGCCGCACCTGAGAAACAACTAGGTCCTCTGGCAAATTGACCTCGGCTGACCGACGTTGCTCCTCAGGCCTGCGGAGATCGAACCAGAGCGTGGGCGGACCTACGCTCTCGGGTCGCCTCCGCGTCGGGGGACTGGCAGGGCACTGTCGCGGAAACGCGCCAGAAGCTTCATTTAGCGGAAGGCGTGCGAGCACGCCGAGACGGAGGCGAGCGCTCGACTGCACCTCCCATCAGCAGAGCAACCGTCGAATTGGCTCCTGGCCACACAGACGGACTGGTTGCATTGCCGAGGGTGCGGGGCCCGATTCCGAGTGAGGGCGAACCTTCACTCCTGGGCCAGCCTCCAAAATGAAGGGAGCAATACGCCAGACAGGCAGGAAGCATGCTTACATGCGCACCGAGCGCAAGGCAGGACAGCGCCAGCCAACACCTTCGCAACACTTCCCTCAGGCCCAGCCTAATCTGGACAGTTGCAAGGCCGCTGACATCGGAGCTCGACCCCGTGTGTAAGCAAGCCAACACACCTGGTTCAGATCCCGCTCGAAACAGAGCAGCTGGCAAACGCGACAGATGCAGCCCAGGGCTGCCAGCGAGGCCCGCCGAACGGCGGTGCCGAAAACATGAAGGGCGCTCCGAGCCTGAGGCTGACTGGGCGAAACAGGCGCGCGTAGCTGCAGGACAACACCTCGCCAACAACATCGCAACTCTTCCCTGGGGCAGGCCCTAGAGGACAGTTGCAGCGCCGCTGGAAACGGAGCCCGATCCTGAATGTAAGCGGACCTACACACCTGGTTCAGCTTCCGCTCAAAGACAGAGCTAGGGCACGGAGCGCGCCGCTAAAGTAAAGTAGCGAGTGAAGCACAGACAAGACCCATCAGCAGAGCAATGTGTCCCTTCGACTCCAGGCCACACACTGGACTGGTTGCATTACCAATGGACGGAGCCGGATCCCGTGCGCGGGCGAACCTACGCACCTGGGTCAGCCTCCGCTGGCTTGCTGCAAAGGCAGCCGCAGCTGCTAAAGGCAGCACCGAGCACAACGCCATGCTGCAGAAGCTACGGAGCCCGATCCCGTGTGTGGGCGAACCTACACACTTGGTTCAGCTTCCGCTGCGATCCGCAGGCAGCTACACGCGCGCGTACCGAGCTGAGGCCATGCACGCGGCGAGAGACAGCCGAGGGCAGCGACGAGCGACCTGACCGACAGCAGCGCAACTGTCCTCCTGGCTAATGGCCACAAATGGGACTTGTTGCATTGCCGACGGTATCGGGCCCGATCCCGTGCGTGAGCGGACCTACGCGCGCGCTTCAGGCCCGAACTGGGCAAGAGAGGCTACCGCCCATTCGCCTGCGCAGGCGGCGCAGGGGCTCAGGGTCACCGATGCTGCCCTGCCCTGCTGGCTGCAGCCCTCGCTTGAGACGGCCGAGCACCGCCTTCTGCCCGTCGTTCTTGGGCGCCCTCGGACACTCCTTCGCCAAGCCCGACATCCTGACACTCTGCGTCCAGAAGCCGCACCTGACGCAAAAGAGGTGATTGCCTGCTCGCCATAACTCGTGGGAGTCGTGCGGATCGAGCCCCCGCCACGGCGTAAGCTCGGGTGGAGGCGGGGGCGGCGGCTGCACCACCGGCGCCGCGAACGGTAGCTCGCGAGCTGCCGCGGCCGCGCCGCCGCTGCTATACAAGGCTCCACCACCTCCACCGTCACGGTGATCGCCGTCATCAGTCTGCTGCTGCTGCTGCGCTCTGCAAGCCGCTTGCCTGGCTGGAGAGAAGAGCCGCGCTCGCAGTGAGGAGAGCCGCGGCCGCGGCGACCGAGCCCGAGGCTCCCTCCGAAACCGAAGTCCACGAGCCCGAAATCGCCTCGCCCCGACCCGCGCGGCCCAGAGCGCGTCGCTGCCGACCGCGAGCCATGTCCCATGCCTGCCGCACGTCCTCCGCGATCAGTCGCGAAAGCTGCAGTGGCTCCTCCAGCGCAGCTTGCATCCCTGCCAGTCGCGCCGCACCGCCGCCATGCCTGGCCCCTCGTGGCCGTCCGCGGCAGTCAGCTCCGCGTCGCCCTCCTGCACGGCGGCGCCCAGCCAGCGGAAGACCTTCCTGGCGAAGCGGTTCTGGCGCAGGCTGCGCGCGCGAACCCCGTCGTCCGTGGGATGCATCTCCGCGCCCTGAATGGCGCGGGCGTTCGCACTGCGCTTGCCCCATGCGCTGCCAGGCTGCACTCGGCCTGGACGCCCGCCAGCGCCGCGTGGGCCCTCACCTTGTGGACCGCGACGTTGTCGAGGCCGATGTCCTCGAGCGCTCGCCACAAGCGAACCCATAGCTCTCGGTAGGGTCGCCGCCGCTGGAGGCACCACGCCTTGCCCGCTGCGAAGCCGTCCACGAGCAGCTGGCAGTCGGTGTAGATCCTGACTGGCGGGAGGCAGTCCTGTAGCCCTTCGATGGCAGCTGCCAGCTCCGCGGCCCCCGACTCTTGTGGGCATGGCCAAGGGAGCGGGCCGGGGATGCCGAGGGCCTCCGCGTCGCGACTCATGGCGACGGCAACCCAGCCACCCCTTGCGGAGACCATGCCGGGGTCCAGGACGCTGCCGTCAGTCAAGAGGTCGTCAGCAAGTGGCTGGCCCACAAGATCGGCGCGCCCTTCCTTTCGCGCCAGGCGCTCCTCCATGGGCAGAGGGAGTGAGCGCCGATGTTCGGGCGCCAGGGCCCTCGACCACAGCGGGTCCTCCGTCGCATCTGCGCTGGCCATGTCGACGAGGGCCCCGAAGTGGACGTCGTCGGGCGGCCCCCTCTCGTCTGCGTCGCCATTGGCCTCCCACTCGGCACGGCCGAGCGCGGTGGCAAGGCACTGCCGCGCCAAGTGCCGCACAGTGCCGCGTGCATTGCACCCGCGAGGGCACCAGGGCGACGACGTCAGCGGCCGCTCCTCTGCGAAGCGGCGCGCCACTGGCCAGAGACAGCCGACCAGCGCGTTCTTGGCCGAGCTCATCTGCTTGGCCGCTTGCTGGCTCATCCGCTTGCGGTGCAGGGTGCGCCTGACGCTGGACAGGGCTCCCCCTGCGGCCAAGTGCTCCAGGCCAGGATGCCTGCACGCGTCCCTCCACGGCAGCCGCTCGTGGCTGGCGCCGATGTGCTTGGAGAGGGACGAAGCGCCCA